TCCGCTGCTACATTAACGGTGTGAATTATCGTGCGCACAGGAGGTAGCGGGAGTAGACAGATAGACAGGAGTGAAGACGCCGTAAAGAAAAACGTCTGGCACGGCGCCTGCTGGACGGCCCCCGCTTGACGGCGCGAAAATCGCCGGTCCCGAGTTCGCGGATAATTAAGGGGCTATTCTGATTTGAAAGATCGCAGAAAGAAGGGTAATCGTTCTCCCCAGGGATTTTCTCTCCTCCAGGGAAACAAACAAACCGTTACAGAGTAACGTCAAACTTCGCGTATCCTTTTAATCTTGTTCTTGAAATTTGAAATATGCTTTTATTGTCTAAGTCGCAAAAACGATCTCCTTTGGTATGCTATATCCTGGTCGCACTAGAAGCTCGTAAAGGAAAGAGAAACATGTAAATGATTCTGGCTCTCTAAGACCCGTTATTTGAAATTTGTCTCAAGTGAAATATTCATATTTCAGTTAGATATGAGTTTTTTTAGTGGAATCCGATTGCAAATATAATAAGTCTGTATTTTTATCTAAACTGCCTGAATGGTGTAGTAAACCAGTTAGAGTAAAACAAAATATATTCGTCTAGCTTATTGCACCAGTATACACAGTTCAGTTTAAGTAAAAAGATCTAATTACGTATATCGTGTGACACAAATGAAAAACTCAGATCTAACTCTAAATTCAGGTCTGAGTTTTATGTGAGACAAATTTCAAGGAACGACTACCAGGTGTAGAAGTATGAAACCGGAATTCCCCTATAAATGGTGCCAGCGTTCAGTTTAGTGACCGTAAGACCGCTACTGCCGCGCTATTATATTCTCCTAACAGCTGACGAATATTGTCAACAAACATAACCCCAACTTTCATTCTCTAGTATATTTTTGTATAACCTTAAACATGTCACGTTTCGAGCCTACTAACTATGATTTGCGGACAGCATTGATTTTCTGTTATCATTTAAAGAAAACTGCTGCAGAATCACATCGAATGCTTGTCGAAGCTTACGGTGAATATGCTCTTGGTAAATCTCAGTGTTTCGAGTGGTTTAAAAAATTCAAAAGTGGTGATTTTGACGTGAGGAACGAAGAACTATGAACTATGAACTATGAACTATGAACTGCTGAAACCTGGTCAAACCGTCAATACTAATCGCTACCAACAACAAATGATCGATTTAAATCGAACATTGACTAAAAAACGACCAGAATATGCAAAAAGGCAACACAATGTCATTTTGCTCCATGATAATGCCCCATCACATACAGCAAAACGGGTCAAGGAAACGATCGAGTCGTTCAGTTGGGAATTACTACCGCATGCGGCTTATTCTCCAGACTTGGCTCCGTCCGATTATCACCTGTTCGCATCGCTAGGACACGCTCTCGCTAACCAACGCTTCGATTCGTATGAAAATGTGGAAAAATGGCTAGATAACTGGTTCGCTTCAAAAGATGAAAAGTTTTTTTGGCACGGCATTCATAAACTGCCAGAGAGGTGGGAAAAATGTGTTCAAAACAGTGGAAATTATTTTGAATAAAGTATTATTTATCACTTTCGAACAACAGACGTCTTATTTGTATAAAAAAATTCCGGTTTCATACTTCTACACCTGGTATTAATACGGGTTCTGTGTATCTGAAGCACTAATCCCAAAATTATTCTTGCTCAGAAGTCGTGTGGCTATCGTTCGAACTAAAATAAGCATTATATACCTTTATATATATATATATATATATATATATATATATATATATATATATATATATTTATAGGTATATAATAAGCATTATATACCTTATTTTCCTTTTATAATAAAACACCAACTATATTTTAAGAAAGAGTTGGAATTTTTCAACAAAAAGGCCGCCATTTTGGTGATATCGGTTTGTAGTTCTGATCCCGATGTTCTTAAATCTGAGAACTCGCGTACACGTAATCTTCTAATTTGAAAATGTCTATTTTTCGATTCCTCGCACGTCGGAAGGAGCAGCTGAGGTGCAGCAGCCAGGATGGATGAAAGAAAAGAAAAAAGCCGACGAAAGGGCGGAATAGAATTACTTTTACTACTTGTGCTCGCAATTCCGGCAGCCGAGGCGTTTAATGACCCCCGTTTAAATGGAGCCCCTGGCGCGTTTGCAATGAGATAAAAGAAAATTTAAATCCGCACCTGGTCATGCGAGTACGCGTACAATGCGTGTGTGTATGTGTGTGCATATGTATGCCAGTGTGCGCGCGTGGGCGGAATTCGCGCGTAACCGTCCCTTATTGAACGCGGCGCTTAGAGCACACATGTGGAAGCATCAAATGGTGCGCGGAACCACTAAGCTCGCCGATATAGAGACTATTACGCCATTATTGCTACTACTATCACTACCACCACCATCACTATGCATTACTACTACCATTACTATCGTTACGTTATACGGGGTAACGGGGGTGTATGTATAATCGCAATTGTAGTCACGGGACATAGAAATGCAGCGTGCAGAATATTTCACTTTATGCGTCGCAGATTAACTGCAGCCGCGTCTGCGATAGAAGAATCCTGGATCGAAATTTTGATTTTATACTAACCCCGCACGATTCCTCGTCAAATTTCGAAGACGAATGAGGAATCTCGAGAGAAATGTAACACTGTGTCGGTTATTGCTCTACTTTGCTAGAAACTTATTATCGTAAATTTATTATCGTAAATTTCTCTATGAGATATCAAACAGAATCTGCTAAGAGCTTCTAGAATAGCTAAATACTGTAAATATCTTTTAAAAAATGCACGTTCTGGATTATTCGATATTCTTGACTTACATTGCATTTTTATTCTTAATTTTAATGAGCGGAATATATTTGATTGCTTGATTGATTACAGATAAAATATGTGCGATAAGGAAATATTAAATATTGAATATGAGGAAATATAATAAGATTAATGGAAAATAATAAGCTTTTCACGAACTATATATTATGTCATATTTTATTAGTATTGAGAATTTCAACGGAATTTGAAGATTAAAAAGGGAGGAAAAGTAAAGAGTTACAAGAAGAAAATAGCAGCTGACCAAAAACATCAATAGAGATTTGAATTTGAATTTACTGCAGTGACAAAGCTAAACGGAAGGAAAGAGAGGTATAAATCAGCATTTACGGGACTTACAATAGATTTTAAATCTCGTCTTTTGCACTTCCTTATCTCGTACATAATTTCAGCGATTTCAAATCCGCAACGTTTTAACGCTGCTTTAATTGTTATGTTCACACAGTGTTGTAGTTCGAAATTGGATTTTCTCCCCCAAATGTTCGATGGTTTGGTAATGGCGAATGTAGAATCAAAATCTTGACTCGGTTACGAAATTTTTGCAACGCGACATCAGAAACAATGCAAAATGCTCGCTAGAAGAAAGTCGTTTTCGCAACTCTCTTGCACGCTCCGGATTAATTTTCGGATTCGAAAGAAATTCAGTTTGGCTATCTTCACTGATGATACTTTAAAATTATGTCGCAACTTTGACGAACTTTATCACGTACGGTGCGAGAAGTTGTCGGAATCATCGCTGGTTGCCGTCCGAATGAGTCACTTCCACGAAATAGTTCTATGAAGTGAGTCAGTAGAGTCGAGAGCGCGTTGTCTATCTATAGCATGGCCATACGTTTCGTATTCTATAAATTCATTCATAAATCATTCGATTCTCTCCCTTCCATTGTCCGAAAATTATGTGTCATGAATCATTCATAAATGGGAGTAGATGGGATCCATAAAAAAGGTCTACAAAATTAGATCTACAAATTCCCCGCGGCTAAAATCAAATATCGGCTTTTTGCGGTCATGGATTTTCATCGAAATCAAGCAAAAAAATATATTCCGCTCATTAAAATTAAGAATAAAAATGCAATGTAGTTAAGAATATCGAGTAATCTAAGACATGCATTTTTTAAAAGATGTTTACAGTATTCAGCTATTCTAGAAACTCTTAGCAGATTCTGTTTGATATCTCTTAGAGAAATTTACGATAATAAATTTACGATAATAAGTTTCTAGAAAAGTAGAGCAACGACCTACACAGTGTTACATTTCTCTCGAGATTCTTCATTCGTCTTCGAAATTTGACGAGGAATCGTGCGGGGTTAGTATAAAATCAAGATTTCGACCTAAAATTTCGAAATTGGATGAAAAATCCAATAAAATTCGTTGAACTCCTTTATTTGGTTCATGTTGAATCGTTCTTAACCTCTTAGGTACTCTTAGGTACACCATTATAGTGGCTTTCGCATATGTCATCTTTTTGAACGGCACGCCACTATAGTGGCTCATTCTTATTTCTAATAAATTATAATTTATTCATTTAAAACTGTATTCTAATGTACTTACGTAGTGAAAAGCATTAACAGACACAAATCGCAGTGTTGTTTTCGCGCAGTCCGTGTTGAACTTTGCCGTACAGAGATACAGCTCCGCGGAGAGTCCTGCCGTAGCTAAGAGGTTAAAGAAGGACTGACTTCAAAATTAATTAATATTCAATTGTCTCTCAATATTTTACCCGCATTTCAACTTTATTCTTAACTTCTCTCAACCAGCGAGATATTAATTATATAACTTCAGCCCTGTGCACAATCAAGCACATATTAGAAGTAAGAATAAATATTAAATATTAAGTGTATTTTGTACATATGAAAAAGTATAACTAATTTCAAATATAAGTATACACTTATACTTGAAATTAGTTATATTTCATATCTAGTATTACATCATTTTAACTTTTGACTCTTGATTCTTGAATTTGTGATGCGTTAGTTTATTCTGTTGCTTTGTTATAAATAAAATAGTTCCATTATCTTATTCTCAATATTTAATATTTACTCTTATCCCTAATATATGCTCCATTGTGCACAGTTTCTTACTGAACTGCAGTCAGAATAATAGAAATAATGAATAAGTAATATAACAAGTTTTGATATTCTCCATAATCTCTTTTTCATCTATTGTTCTCATTCCTTGGTTACAGAAGTGTGCGACGCGTGAGAGAGCTACAATAAACGATAAGAAACGTAAACACGTCACCTCCCGTCGCCAACGGTCGTCGCTCATCAATTAGTTCGAGCAATCACACAGTCAAAACAAACCGGGACCTTCAAGGCGGTTAAACCCACCTTTGTGTCTCGTGGACTTTCTCGAGTTTTTCCATTCAGTCCCGAGCTGGCGAACAACGCGCGTATCACGGTCTACGTATATCGGTGTGTTATCTGTTATCGCTGTGCGCGGTTTCAAAACATTCGCGACTTCCAAGCGCTCGAATTTACTTCAGTACCTCGCGGACTTCTCCGGATATGTCCACTCAGTTCCGGGCCGGTGAGCGACACGCTCGTTACGATCTCCGTGTGTCGGTGTGCGCTACCTATTGTTCCTTTCGGATGATTGGACTATTTCGCCGGACTTTTTGAGATACTTAATTAGTCTTCCGTTAGCATCGCGTGACTTAACTGACACGTATCTTCGATAGAATCGTTTCTACGCGAGTGCCAGTGTCAATGCCACAACGAAGTAGCCAGGATGCTGGATCGAGAAGCCAGGACGAAGGACGTCGCGACACCGGCAACGATACATCGTATATTTTCAAGGTATGTCAAATCATTTATTATGAAAGTTTCCGGTAACGAACTTGCTGAGAATAAAGAACACCCAAGTCGAAATTTAGGCCGGCATTCATAGTTTGTCATTATTCATTGTAATTATAGTTTCATTGATTTTCAGTTAATTGTCAACCTATACCTGGATTCATTACATTATTTCACATAACGGACACTGATCCGAGCAGTCGAGTAACGGTCCATGAATATGAACTTGTAATTAATTATCCTCTCAATCAAAGATGGTAAATATTTAGTAACTATGAATATCGGCCTCGTAATATAACGTAAATTTGACAAGTGTTGATTTTTACGTCCAATAATGCTCGCAAGTCTGATTTCGTTTACGTCTGCTGATGCTTTTTTTATCTTTGTTTGGTCTTGTTATTGTACGGAATTCACATTTAAATCTTTATTGGCGAATTGCATTATTGGACACACATAACTGATATCATTGCTGTTACAGCTTCACACTGAGAGAAAAACAATGGTTGATCTAAGTAAAATTATAGTTACTTTTGACTCTCTCCAATCATATTTTTTGCAGTAAAATAATAGTAGTAACATGCATATATAAAGTTGTTATCATTAACATTATAGAAGAATTTAATAAAAAATAGTTTTCTCTTTCGACCTAAACTTATAGTAATTATTTTTTTTTATCGTTATAGTTACAAATACCAAGCATTTTTCTCTCAGTGGATATCAGCTCTTTTAAGAGCTACAAATCTCATCTCACTTCCATAAGAAAAAAAAGAAAAATAGGAAAGAAAAAAAGAAGAAAAAAAGAGGAAACTCAGGAAGAGATGAGATTAAGTCTTATTCTTTATATCCATTTACCCACAATAATCCTTGTTAAATAATTGAACGTCTGCTTATCCGATCTAAAAAGTATATACAAATTTCGTTCGAATATAGTCACACTTTGTCAATTACCAATCACGTGTTTGTATTTGTCAATCAATATTAATGTATAAGAACGCCGCGGCTTCGTTTATTATTAATTAATATTACGAGTTCCGCGTAAACGATGTTGCGCTTTCTGAGATTATACGGCCGAACATTGCAACCATCGTGAGTTGCATTTGACGAGTATCTTTTATGTATCGAATGCACACAATTTTTTCGATATTTCCGCCGCGAAAGGAGATTCATCGGGAGAGTTAAGCAACCGCTTAAAATAAGTGCACTAAGGTAAGTGATGAGAACGCCGCTTGTGCAGTTCATGTTTTGATCTCGTTCTTCGTTGGAAAAATCACTGAACAACCAGCTACACTTTCGATACGCTTTGTTTCCTCGTTCGAATCTAGCCATACTTCGTTCATTTCCAATCGCGTGTGTATAAATTTGCCAATTAACGTAATGTAATGTCATACTTCACTCATGAGTTATCGAGCAATTTTCGAACGACAGTGATTGTGGTAGTCTGTGTTCAATCCGTGGAAAGACATCTCTTTGAAGGCTCCTGGAGTCTTGCGTATGGGTGGAATACGCGTATGTTGCTATGATTTCTTTAACTTTTTTTATTTCTACTGACGAATGTTTCATCAGAAACATCTATTCTATTCGAGGTTTGCACAAACGTTATGCGTTTTTTGAGGTTTCCTGGCCAAGCAAGGCGACTGTTGCGAATGGCAATGAACGAGTGTTGGTTTTGTGCATTCGATGCAACCGGGCAGTTAATTTTTCCGACATTTTTTCTCCGCGAAGCAATGGAACGGCTTTGATCGTATCTCGCGTTTCCGAGTTTTGTTATTTTGTTCGTAAACACGGTGAACATTTAATTTCAAATTTTCATCGTTAAATCATTCTGAGCGGTTCTGAGCGGTTTAATGGCCGTGACACACGGAAAAACGTAAGCAGTAAGACAGTTGATCAATCACAATTGTTTATTCTTGGCTTGTAAAGAGAATCTTCGATTGTTGCTAGTCAATTTGCTTACTGCTTAAGTTTCATTGTTGACGTTTTCTCGCGCTACCTATAAGCGTGTTAAAAATTGTACTAAAAGTTCTATTAAAAAATTTGGTTAAAATATATTGAAGTAATCGCGGATATTAAATAATGAAAAGATAGTTAAAATAAATAAATAAATAAATAAATATATATAAAGCTCGAATATTAAATAATCCTTGAACGAGTTCTTCTTCGAGTTTCTTCAATATGGCAGTAAACAACTATCAGCAGCATCAAGGTAGGTCCAAATCTCGAGATTCTTCATTGACTCTTCAAGTTCGGCAGAATTTGCAGGCTCAATGTAGAATCAAAATTTCGACTTAGATAAACACTCTCAGCAAGTTCGTCTTTAAGTCTCCGCATGGAGACAACAGAGTTAGTTACATACAGAAAAATATCATTCTATTATATTGCTAAGAAAAACGATTTCTCACTTTATTCTCTTTCTTTTGAATAGTAGTTATATTCAAGAGTAATGATAATAATCTTAAAATATATTCGTCATATATATTTTAGAAAAGCTCATGTTGTCATGTATTCAAAAGAAGAATTTATTTTTTTATAAGAACATTATGAAACTCTATGAAGAAGAAAAAGTTGGTTTCGATTCTATGTGAGCAAGCAAACCGAATCTTTGCTTTAATTTGATATTTTTGATTGAAATAATAAATGAACTAAAATTCAGAATGTATTTTGAATAAATTTGATGCTTGTGATGAATCTATGATAAATTTGCGGATATATAAACTTATGAAATTTTTGATAATAATGCTTGAATGCAGTATATATTTTTCTGTGTGTACCATTTGTAACATTAAGTGCAACAAACTGTAAAATTCTATATCTCGACATTCTATATTGGTCTACAAGTTCTACACAGAGAAAATACTGCAGTAAAAATTACGTTAAAATTATATTTTTTTCTACAATGTTTCTGGTGAAGCTGCATTATACTGAAATTGCAATATAAATTACTGTGGAAGTAGCAAATTTAACCACGATTTAACCACGATATGAAAAAAAGAACATTCAAATAATTACAATAATTTTGCAGTGAAACGTTGTGAAGACGTGTGTGTCAATTTTGAACATATATAGAGTTAAATATATAGTAGCTTCGATCATAATTCTGCGTGGTCCAAGGTTACAAAAATGTTATTGCAATTTTCACTACATTGCCTCCGTGTATGGTATTTGCGGGCTTAACGTATTATCCAAATTTCGATTCTGATATCGGGGGTGTCATCAGTATGCCTTCCGCTAGCGCGACGCTAGCTAGCACGTGCGCCAAATAACCAGGGCAATTCCATAAATGAAATTCCACCTACGTAGCACTAAATCGTAATTAATATCGTGTTTCCGCCAAACTAGCTCGTTAATCAGATTTTATTCCGAGTAAGGGCGCATTATTATGACGATCGCATAACCGGGAACGTGGCTCATTACGCAAATGGCGCTCGCAGAATGCGCGGTAGTATCCGTGTGTGGGACGCGCGAAGTCACTGTTGATAGTGCGACCGCGGTTGAGGTAGCTTTCAAAAGGGTTAATCCTCTTTTGCGAGAGGGCGCGGCCAGAGAAAGAATTTATTAATGGACGTCCATTGTACGTAATGCGTGTCTCGCGGAGAACGAAAGAAAAGCCGTCGCGTCGTGAACAATGAGACCATTGAAAACCGGTCACTTCTAAAATACTCCTAAAATACGAGATTATGATTTTCGCGCGGCGGCGAATCGCAGATGCTTTAAAAAATGACAATTGCTGCAAGATATAAGAACACACTTAGTGCGTTTTAGCACATTTTATCTAAGAGTGGCTTGAACCTTCAATTAATCTCAAGTGTAACACTAGTTACTTTGAATAGTATTGAATTATATCTTGACCTCCTTTTCGTTCTTCATGAAACAATCTCTCGGATAATTATTACAGCGCTATAAGAATTTCTCGGATTTAGCGGATTAAAATATTTTAAGCACGGCAGATCTCTCCCTTAGCTCATTTGAGCCCGTCGCGCAAACAGGATTGTCTTTAGTAACTCACTGGGATCATGAAAGACGAGGGTCCCGACTTGTTCTGAAATCGAAGAGTGAGAAAATGCGGGTGATTCGCCCCTCGCGCCAATCGGCGAGGGCTTCGCGAAGAAGAACGGCGCTCCATTTGAATAATTTCACAGGAAATTACCGCTTGACACTGGTTGCTCCTAGATCTTGGGGGATAACGATCTTCCGACTCTATTTGCCAAGAAATAGAGTGAGAAACGTAGAGAGACAGAGGGAGAGGTGGAGAAAGGAGAGCGCGTCTCCATTGTGACGACGAATATTAAAATTCAAAAGCGAATCACGCGTACTCGCGCCGATAATAACGCGATATTGCAACGAGAGAAACTCGATACACAGCCGTCGGGCGATGTGAGCTCGGGGGAGTATAACAAGTACCCGAAAAGGAATGCGATACGATGTAACGAGAGCGCGCAAACGCCGTCACCGCTGCTGCGCCGCACGGAAAGACGTTTGGATAACGAGTGAGGTAATTACACCAGAGCGCGCGCAGAAAATCGCGTACCATCCCGCGCGAAATCCCGGCTTTGTAATCCAAGCGGACGGCGCATAACATTCCCATAACACCACCGTATTCGAAAGTGCTCAAGAACGCGTCGTCGCTCACCACCGCCGCGATGTCGCTTCGTTATGCGTTTCGATGTTTTCGCGAATCATGCAAATACACGGTCTCTCTCTCGCGCGCGCGCGCGCGCACGCACGCACTCACTCTGCACAAAGGGAAAAGGGTTTTATTTTCCGCCATCCGAGTCCCGGCGCGCGGACATTGATTCGCGCGTAACATAATCCGGCAGCACGAAAACGCAAATGAGAATGAGCCGCGACTGAAATGAGAAAGAGAGAGACGAGAAAGAAAGAGAGAAGAGAAGAAGCGACGGAATATATCTCTTCCCCCCCCTCTCTCTCTCTCTCTCTCTCTCTCTCTCTCTCTCTCTCTCTTTGATCCTTATCTCTATCTTTTTCCTCTTTCCCCTCCT